CTGCAATTGGAGGGTGATGCGGGTCAATGCCTGAGGGCTCCCAGTATGTGAGAGGGGGCAGGCTGGGCTGAGGGACACTCCCCCTGCCCCCCAGTGCACGAATTTCGTGCACCGGGCCCCTAGTTTAAATATAAGAGTTGCCAAGTGTTCAATACCTTCACTATTCCACTAAGAAATCAGTCATTCCTTAAGCCTAGTTTAGGCCCCTTATATGCTCTCACTCATTCCACACTTTTTTGTAGCACAGAAAGTGGTCAAATAAATCACTTCCTGTATACAAGTTACAGACTGTTTCTCCTACTTACAAGTGCATGAAGGCAAGCACCAAGTTTATCTACATCAGGGGTTGGCAAACTTTTTCTGAGAAGGGCAAAATAGTAAATATTTTCAGTTTTTCGGACCATAGGGTCTTAGTCACAACTATTCAGCTCTGCCACGGAAGTCCCAAAGCAGTGGAGACAGTATGTGAATGAATGGGTGTGACTGTGTGAAAGCTTTATTTACAAAAACAGGAGGTGGGCCAAAGGGCCATGGTTTGTTGATCCCAGGTCTGTCATCAGCAGTCAGTTTAGCATCTGACATATACTGGTAGTAGGCACTTAGTGAACGAATAAAGAAAAAAAAAGCACTTAGTGAATGAAAAAAGAAAGAAAAGCCATTATGGTAGTTAGACAGGAAAGAGTCGGTACTCAGGGAATGTGGTTTTAGTGGAATAGTGGAGGTGGAATTGAGACAACAGTGGTTTGAGGAGTGAGCAGCAGTTGAGGAAGTAGTAACTTCTCTTTCAAGAGGTCCACAATTAGAGCAATAGGCTTGGATACTGATACTATCTTCAAAGAGCAGGTACATTAGGAGCGTGTTTGCATGCTATGAGAAAGCAGGGCTGGGGGAGAATTGATGAATAGGGGGCCTTCGGGACTCAAGTGTGTGGGCGGTTGGTCATGAAGGAGGAAGACACCTCCTGAGGCTGAGGAAACAAGGAAAGGTGTAAGGAAATAAGGGGAAAGCCTTGTACAGTGTTCCCTTCTCCTGTGAAATGTGAGCCAGGACCATTTGGTGAGAAGAGAGGATTGAGGAGGTTAGGAACACCACATGCGTCAGACTGGGAGAGCTGCAAACAGAGAGGAGTGGATGCCACACACCCTTCATTTTTCTCATTTGAGGGAGCTCTTGGGTACTTCAGACCTGTGTTTGCAGGTCTGACTAGGTGTCAGGTGTGTCACTCACTGAGTCAGCAGCTCTCCTTGCTATCACTTCCTGTCCCTTCACTGTCCCATGCAGGTAGCAACAGGCAGGCCCTGAGGACAATGAGGTCATGCTTTAAACATGCTGTAAACAGTTCTTTTCTGAAGGATACTGAAAGGCATTTGAATTTTGGAGAGTTGGTGGTGGTTTCATCTCCAGGCCTTCATATGTGTATGTACATGTAGTAAGATATTTCTCTACTGGGCAGATCAGCCTTTCTCTTTAAATGGAAGAAACCATTTGATTGGGGGTTTGCAGTAAAAATAGCATAACAGCTCTTTAGTTTTCCAAGCCTCACATAGTACTAAAACCTATAAAACACAACTCACAGAGAAAGTATTAATAGTACGATATTTGAATACCCTGAGACGTTTTCTCTAAGTCAAACACCAATCGCTAGTCAGTGTCACTTATCCAAAGAGTCAGATACCCTAAAAAAATCTTACATTTCAACATTCATTTATCAATTCATTAATACTACTAGAGCAAGAACGCATGAGTCGGGTTCGGGCCCCATTCTCCTACTTTTCAGGAAGTATGAAAATCACCTAAATACCTGTTGGTTGACATGCCTGAAAAGACAGTATCAGTATCCAGACCCATTTTCACCTGCCCTATTTCAAGGTGTAACTGCCGCTGAGATATAGACTGAAGGTTCTACGTGTATTCGGAACTTTAATTCATACTTTCGCTTTTAAGTCTTCACTCCTCACAAGCCAAAAGGTAATTTTCTTTAAACACAGCAATCCTCTCTGTATCTTTTCCAAGACGTTCCCGAGATGACGGAACCAACGTTTCTGAGTTTGCTAGTGCGGGCAACGGAGAGGCCCGCGCCTGGGGCGCATGCTTTATGTGGAAGGGCTTCCACACATGGCAAGATGTATAATCAATAAACGTCATCTCTTACCCTATAGTTGGGTTGATGTTCGGATCAAAGCTGTCTTCCACGAACCGCCATACAATACTTGATTTGCCCACACCTGTGTCCTGGAACAGAGTGAGACAGGTGAGTGCGGTTTGCCTGCTGGCAGACCTGAACACGACCATGTGTCCGAAGTTCGGGATTTCAGAAAATGCACCCCGGACACGTTTCAGGAGTGAGGGGACACAAAGGAGAGGCTTCCATAAAGATTCAGTGGGAGCCACGAGAGATCTCAAACGTGTTGCAGGAGAGGAGTTTTGCAGTTTTTAAGGCTTTAGGACCTTTCGAAAGACCCCAAATTTCTGCTTCTTGTGAACAGCGACGAACTCACTGGCTTTTTAAGTGCAGAAAGTGAACGGGGAACTCTGGCATGACTTCTGGGTCTTCCCGGACAGGTCCCGGCCCCGCCCCGCTGCCGGGGAGGGGAAGGCTCTTTGGGGAACCCTCGGGGGTGTGCAGGGGAGCAACCCCGGAAAGAGCGCTCGGAGGCGGCGCTGCTGCCCAGACGGGACGGGGAGCGGCCGCTTCACGGTCCCGCAGGCAAGGAGGTGCGGGCAGTGTCAGGGCGAGCCCGCAGGTTCCCCAACACCGCACGGCCGGCGGGGCTGCTCCCGCGGCGCCAGGACCCCGCGGGCCGGCTGCGGGCTGGACTGGGGGAGACTTGGCCAACTTT